ATATACTTACTATTCCTTTGCTTGTCTCTGCACTCAGAGTTCAGTTTGTCTTCTATAGCAGCTGATCTGAAAAACAACAAATATTAATATTTCACACACAAAAAAAACGCAAATGATGATTGATGATTTGTTTTCTTTTTAAGAATGATGAATTCTTTCTGAGAACAATGTACCTGGTCGGTAATATAGTCAAAAACCTTCCCAGCCTCAGCAGTTTCAGATGTACTGTATGCTCTCATATAAGCAACCCTTCTTACAATTTAATCTTTGTTCTTATCTGTAATGAGAAATATATATTAGAAAATAAAGGCGATAAGGTTGTCAAGCTTGAACAAATATAAACACCAATCAACGAACACTACCACAGTTGGCTAATCAGCTCAAGACAAAGTAATTGTATGTTCATAATCATGGTTTTTCAAAGATCATTAACCTCATTACAATGAAGCCAAATTGTTCAGGAAATCAGAAATAAATAAATACACAACTTAATTTTGCAAATAAAAGAATGTTAATGTTGTACATGTTATAATGACTAATTTTATTTTATTAATTTTTTTCTGCCAATGCATGTGTCAAAAACAGACTGGCACAGACAAATAAGGTTAATTAAATCTTACCTGAAGGCACAGTGAGGTTCCAAAAGCCATACGCCATACACGCTTGCAGAAGCTGCTACACATAAGAACATACTGCTATATTTTCTAATTAATTTCATAGTTCCCACAAAACAATTTGAATTCTGTCATCACTCACCCTTAAGATGCTCCAAACCATCTAAGACTTTCGTTCATCTTCGAACAAATGTATAATCACCTAGCTTATTACAATTAATGTAGCATGTACATTCACTCTTTGTTATATTGCAGCCATTTGCTAAAATCATTTAAGTCAATGTACAGTCAGCTAGCTATTATCGCAAAATGTATTGCATTGTGCATTATCACATAAGCTGCTTGCAAAATGTTTATTTCTTCAGAATATAAAATTTAAATTCAATTTAAATTTTAAACTGACGTCAATGGAAAAAGTCTTCATAAAAGTTGCTCATAATGCTCTGACTTCAGTGAAAAAAATATTAAAAATAAATGTTGTCAATAGATGATTAAATTGCTTTCATAAAACACAAAGGCAACAATATAATTACAGAAGCATGTCTGAAGAACTTCACTGGTGTCTATTGAGCTGAGCTTTTTTTTCACATTCCATACAGTCTTAATGAGAAAAAGACACCTCTCCTGCTCAGCTGTAAGATATTAAAGAGAGTGATGCTTTGTTTTTTATCTTATCTAGGCCTATCAGACAACTCGACCTTACATCTGAAGTGGACAAAATAACTACTTGAATCACCCAGCTGTAAACATAAACAAACACTCTTTACATTTTATTCTCTTTCTGTGTTGTTTCCCCAAGGCATCTGTCTGCATTCTTTCATCCATTTTTATTCGCTCTTTAATCCATCTTCCTGATTTCTGAGGCGGTCTGTCAGAAACATGACCCCGGCTCTGGATGTTATTGAAGAGTGCATCCCAAAGCCCAGAACCGTGTTTCATTGCAATCCTGCAGACAGAGGCGTGGTGTCTGTTCTCCTCTCTAACACTTTTTTGTTATATTACAAATGACACAAAGGTACACACCTGTGGCACAGGTTTGTTTTCATCAGAAAGTAATTCCCGTTCCATTCAGGGCTTTCATAGGTCCTGTGACACAAAGCACAGGCGGTGGTGTCAGTAAATTGATTCGACACCATTCAGACAGGTAATGTAATGAAGGGTAGCGGGGAGACTGTATTTACAAATTCTCCAAGCAGTTTCTCCCACAGACCCAGAAATGGGAAACACAATCCGACATACATCATGGAGTGAGAGAAGTATTAATATTCATGAGCAGAATGGAGTTTTAGCCGGTGAGTCAGGATGAGTTATGATAGGCGTGATGTGATTTGGTCCTGGCCCCTGGTGGTCACGCCATGCTCGGTTAGCAGACAGGACTCAAACAGCGGACAGGACCATCTATCCTGTATGACAACCTCTCGCTACTCACATCAGGCCATCTCACACACACACACACACACACACACACACACACACACACACACACACACACACACACACAAGAAACATACATTTTACCATCTAAGTTGGTTTAAATGCAGGAAAAATCTAGGCCAACGAGTATGTTATGTTCATGTGGCAAGCTGAAGAATGATTTTAAAAGGTGACCTATCACTAAAGAAAGATTTGCTGCAATTAATTATCATTTATACACACCACTGCTTCACAAATTGAGCAAAATATGTTTAAAAAACACCCACAAACGATGCAAATTAAAATAATGAGCCACAGAGCTCACATGACTGCACGCGTGATTTAGCTTAAAGACCCCGTGAAATTAAAATGAGAGGTTTGTAGCTTTCACTCCATGTGTATTTGCTTTGATGTCATCTAAATGCTAAACGCTGACAGAACATTCAGCAGATATAGGCTACGTACTAGGTACAAAAAATCTTATGTAATGGCTATGTGCATTACATAAGATTTTTTTTGGGTTAAAATGAACAAAAAGAGCAAGTAGGCCTACATCAGTGTTTAAAATTGTCTTCTTGCCTTACCGAGATTCACAACGCCAAGCTCATAATGATTTTTAATTTGAGCCATCAGGTCGGATGTTGCTGGAAAAGTTGTCTTTTATAGCATTATTTATTTTAATCAACTTTATCACAGTTTCCACAAAAATATTAAGCAGCACAACTGTTTTAAACATTAATCATAATAAATAAACACCAGTACGCCTCAAACCATCATATTCATCCATGCTGAACAGTTACTTTCAGTTTTACACCTCATTTGCTAGATGACAAAATCTTGCATACTGTGCCTTTAAGATTAAAGTCTTACTCAGATATATGTCCTGTTGGAATGCTATCTAAAATTAATATATTTCCCCCCCAAAAATCTGTGACTAACTAGCAAGTTGCTACTATTTTCTTATCCTTCCAGACATCCTAATTTAGACAGACAGATGCTCAGACTGGCCACTGTCCACCATTAAATCAGGTTTGTGAGCAGCTGGAAGGGACAGCAGCTCTCAATGCAAGTCCTCCGCCTGCTCTGGAGGTTAACAATCTCTGGCCTGCTATAATAACACAACAGCCTGTAGCCACCCAACTCATCCAGCCCACAATTCAAAGAATTGGACTTCACCAGACCAGATAAGACACTGCAAGATATGTCAGATCCCATTCTCACCTTCTTAAGAGACAGTTTCCAATCCCTTCAAAGCCCTGGAGGTCAAGGATGGGAAAGATTCACAAGCTCTTGTTATTCATTAGGGTGAAAGGTACAGAAAACGTATTCTTTAGCTGAACATAACTAATATGTACTCATAATTGTAACTGTAAACTCAGAAGCTTATCTTAATGGGATAGTTCAACCAAACATCCAAATGAATTCAAATTACAAACCTGTAAGACTTCCATTCTTCTGTGGAACACAAAAGATGATGTATTGAAAAATGTCTCAATGTTTTGTTGATACAATGGCAGTAAATGGGGTCCAATGTTGGTGGATTTGAAAAGGATGAGAAAATATTTAAACTATCTCTTAACCAGTGTTGGGTGTAACCAGTTACTAAGTAATTAGTTACTGTAATTTAATTACTTTTCCCTTGAAAAAGTAAAGTAAGGGATTACTCTTATTTTTTCTAATTTAATTACAGTTACTTCTTATGTAATTGAACTTAATACTGTGTATATTTACATTTACATTTAGTCATTTGGCAGACGTTTTTATCCAAAGCGACTTACAAATGAGGACAATAAAAGCAGTCAAAACTAACAAAAGAGAAACAATATATAAGTGCAAATGACAAGTCTCGGTTAGCCTAACGCAGTACATGTAGCAAGGTGTATATAAGAACATTTATACACAATATAATAGTGGATTTAACATCAACATTTAAAGTCTAACCTTAAAATGCATGCTTTTTATGTACCCTTCTCACTTTAAATACTTTGGTCAGTTAATAAGAATATTGGTAACACTTTAGTGTTCAATTCTCACTATTAACTTGTTGGTTATTAGCATGAATATTACTGGGATATTGGCTGCTTATTATTACTTAAAAAGCACATATTAATGTCTTATTCTGCAAGACCTTATTCTAAATCCTTAATCCTAGCCAATTCTTGAACTTAACAACTACTTTATTAATAAGTATTAAGTATTAATAAGCAGTAATTAAGAGCATTTTGAGGCAAAAGTCATCGTTAATAGTTAGTTAATAGTGAGAATTGGACCCTAATCTAAAGTGTGACCAGAATAATTTATGTAGTTACTTGAAAGAATTAAAAGAACCATTTCATGTCTATCCTTGTATCATTAACTTGTTGAGGTTGATATAGGATTTAGAAAGTAATTAGTAATTAAAGTATAAAGTAATAAAGTAATTAAATACTTTTGGAGAGAGTAATTTGTACAGTAATCTAATTACACTGTTGAAGAACTAGTAATTAATTACTATTAGTAACTAGTAATTAATTACTTTTTTAGAGTAACTTACCCAACACTGTTCTTAACATTTGCAAACTGGTCCAATACAATTGATACATTATATAAACACAATCTAAAGTGTGGTGCACTGAATGTTTTATTGCAATCAACTGACAATAGCAAAGTGCCTTTTCACAATAGCAATTGCTACAATTTAATAAAATAAGTATAGATATAAAAAACACAACAAAAATTAAACAGAGTACAACAAAAACACATAAGCATAAAAAAAACTATGGCAACTTTTTTTTTTTTATATTCAGTGCACTATTTTGGTTATTTAAAAAAAAAAGGAACAAAAATCACCACTTAAAAAAGCAGCACTGGCTGAACTGAACACACATCAACACAATATTTTTTGTAATTTGTTTTGTTTTTCTGCAGCTATACTGCCAGTACACAGCCATGACATGCAGCCCTCGAAATGCATTTACAACATTGTGAGAACATTATGATTCAGCTGGGCATGTTGAACTACAAAAACACTATTTAGAGTTCTGAATAAGTCTGTACAGATTGAACGACAGCAGAACCGCAACGTCACACTACACATCTCCTACTTGAGGAAGGCCAACCTATTGATCAAACAAAAGTTTGCATTACATTTGAGACTTGCTGTGTTAAAATGGGTGAACAGGTGCTTTGAATCAGCAAGGCCTTACTCAAGGTGGAGATGGTGATGTCATTGATCTGACATGATGTCACGACAAAACTTTCAGACATTAATAAAATGTCCCCCTTACTCATCATCATGCACTATACAGTTCAACAAAATTTAGTAGATAAAGAGCGCTAGATCACTGTGTCATCTGTATGAAGATTCTCAGACTGGTTCAGAATTACTTCCCATAATCCTCTAGGCCACTGCACGCAAGTAGCCAAATTATAGTTGCCTAAATGTTCACCGCTATTTCTGCCACATTCTGTCTACTCACATTTATAAAATTCACATATTCTATCTAGGAGTTTTATGATTCAATAAATAAGACAACCACAAGCTTCGAATGGATCTAAATTTCATTTACAGAAAAGCCGCGATGTTCACTGTTGAGATTACATGAGGGCAGCAGCGACCCAGATGATTCTCCGTGAGAACGGAGTGAAAGTTGCACTGTCAAAAGATCTTCAGTGGTGTCTATAAGTGAGACACATCCAGTTTGGTGTCAGACCGCAGGTTGCTATTACTAGATAACACGTTATGTTTCATAGTCCGTGTTGAAATAAAAGAAAAATTTACAAAAATCATTCACGCTACAGCTAAGCTCTAAATGCTTTCAGTATAGAGGCTGAATCTTTCTTGAAACATGACTAGTGTGGATTGCAGAGCAAATGTGAGGATCATAGCATCTTCAATGGTAAAATATGGCAGTGTTTTCGAAGTGTTCATGGAGACCAACAAAAACTTAGATGCTATATTCATCCTCAGAGATATAATCACACTAGTAGGTCTTCACAGGTTACAGGTTATGACACTGCGCAATAAGTTTTCACAATTTTTCAGTGGTAACACAAAGATCGGGCACCATATTTCAAACACAAACCAATAAAGAGAAGAAGAACAACACTTGATGAGATTTAGAATATAGATAAAACAAAATGTCAAATCCCTTCATAACTCATATATGCAGAAGTCTGCCAATATCTGCTTTCCTTCTGGATCATTACAGGGCACGTATGATGATAAAAAGATCTTGGCACTGAGAATGTCCCTTGAGTCTATAGTGTCCTGTCTGCCGTCTCCCTCAAGACAACGTTTTTTACAAGAAATTCAAAAACTCCGGAGAGAAAATCCCTTCATGCCCCCTTTTGATTCCATTCAACCTTGCATTATGAAAATACGAGGACGCTGAGGCCAACGCTCACCAAATGTGGGGTCAGTTGTGTATTTATACACAAACAAGCACACACTCATGTACACAAGGGTGTTTTTAGAGATAAATGGAACTTCTTAACATTGGAAAGGTCAAGAAGACCTTGAAATGAAATGGGGAATTTGGGGGCAAGTATAAACATCTGAGCACCAGCGATGAGGAAACATGTCAGTGTAGGAAGCTCACTGTCTTTTCCAACATCACGTTACACAGATCTAATCCTATTTAGTGTCTTTGAATTTGTGGCTTTTGAAGTTGTATTGGTCTGTGGCAGTGAGGATGAGCTGGAGTTCATGTATTTCCTTGAGTCTGTGGGCAATGAGGGCTCTCCATAGTATATATCCATTTAAACAGAGGCAGTTCTCAGGTCAGTTCTGTGGCACGTGCACACAAACAAAATCAATATACATCCATTGTCAGCTTTCCAAGTTTTTCTGAGGAAAGATTGTCCTTTTCTTCCTTCATCCATACACCATTGTCTCTAGAAACGTTCATAGTCCAGCAATGACCTTCCAGTCGTCTGAAGCAAAAATCAGCACAGACAAAATAACAAATAATATGTAATGGTTTCCACCAGACTTCATAGACGGGAGTAAAAAAGCAAAAAGAAACTGCTGTTTCCGATCCTGGAGAGGGAAGGAGGTTGGTGTCAGTTGGGTAAAATACATCAGGCTCACGGATACTGCCACCTCAAAGGAAAAGTTCTCACACAAGAGCATGAATGAAAAGTAAAATCATATTTTAAAAAAAGATCAGGAAAAAGAAAGCAGAGCGAATGTCTAGGCATCGGCGCCAGCAGCCACCGTAGTCATGGCAACTTCAACTGAGGAAGGTCTTAGTCAGTCATATGGATGGATTGACAGGCCAGGCTAGAAGCCCAGATTACTTTCTGGTGGCCTCATCACAGACGAGGAGGAGAAGATAAACAGAGAGCGAGTCAGAGACAGAGAGAGTGTAGATGAGCAAGTCTCTGAGCGAGACAGGGTCACGTTCGTGTCACTGTTACTCCACAGAACCAGGGTGAAGACTGAGGGCTGGGGGGTCCAGACAGGTTGGGGAATAGCTGAGATGAGGCTCTTTGATCCACAAGAGCGGCGCTCCGTTCTTGCCCTCCTGGTTCTTGCTGGAGCTGCGGGTCTTGTAGCGCACCAGCAGGACAGCAATGAGGAGGATGCCAAAGATAGGAAAGGGGTAGAAGAAGACGAAATAGAAGAGGGAGTCGTTGGAACAAACCACTGACTGTAGGGTAGAGACTGGAGGGGGACAGAAAGAGTTAGAACAATTTAATATGGAACTTAAATATGTATAAGAACAAAAAGAGAGCTGTGTGAACACTGTCCTGACCAATGTTGGGAAGGTTACTTTGGAAATGTAATAGGTTACATATTACAAGTTACCCTATTCAAAATGCAAGTAGTAGTAGTAATAAGTAGTGTAACTATTTCAGTTACTTTATTAAAGTAATGTAACTGATTACAATTGATTATTTTTCAAAATTTTGAACTAATGTTTTCAACTCTTAATCATTTTCAAACATTTAAACCAGGCAACGTTAACCTTACAGTAGTGCTTAACACTAATTACTGTCAGACTTTGAAAATCCAGCCACCACAAAATCTGACTTTAGTGCATCATTTTACTTTGAGATTTTTCTGATTTTTGGTTTTTAAATTTCCAGCACTGGACGCATTTTTATCACTTGCCATGATGGCAACTCTCAGACAGGTTGTAGCCTAAAGCTTTCAGTGGCAATGTGGATTGATGTAAATGGGAGACATGATGGGAGACAAATTCAAACAAGACAACCAATCAAAAACATCAGAATAGCATCGCTTATTTCTAAAAAACAGCCTTTAAATGGCAGAAGGCTTTGTGCACATCAAAACAGGCAAAGCAACAAATTAATATTATTCTGCATATCCATATTCAGATGTAACCCCATTTCTAATCGTTAACATTTTCATTAAGTAACTGTAATTGAATTACACATTTTATCTCAGTAACTGTAATAGATTACAGTTAATTTTTTGGTAATTAAATTATGTAACACCGTTACATATAACTAGTTACTCCCCAACACTGGTCCTAACCAACATAATAAAATGACAAAACAAAAAAGTTAATGTGACTCCAAATAAAACACTAACTAAAGTCTGTCTGTCTGTCTGTCTGTCTGTCTGTCTGTCTGTCTGTCTGTCTGTCTGTCTGTCTGTCTGTCTGTCTGTGTGTAAAAACATGAAAAAAATTGCAGGACAGAAAATAATACATGTAGGTGGTTATGCAGAAACCTTAAAAAAATTATAGAATTTATGTGCCCATTTTTACTGTTACATAAATACAGAAAATGTAGGGGAACTTTTTTTTGAAAGTTTGCTTCAGTTTCTTCATGTATCATTTCACATTAAATGTGGGCACAGAATTTACTTGTTGGATTGTATCTGATTAGGACACGGTGTAAAAGCACAAGAAAATATTAACAACCACATGTGTGGATGTGGTTAGTGCTTATAAAGTGCAAAAGCTCACCCTGCTCCATAACATTAACAATGGTGACTCCAGAGTTATTGGTGGCCAGGCGGTACCAGGCATTGCGTGGGTTCAGCAGCCACTCCTCCACATGGCAGTAGTAATTGCCGGCATCTCTGGACCGAGCTTTCTGGATGGTCAGACTGTACAGTTCAGAGGTGGCGCGTTCAAACTGCAGGCGAGAGTTTGGACCAGGCTCCTCTGTAGGGCTGCAGTTCCCATTACCAAACACTGCATCATGACCGATGGAAAAGACGCACTCTTGGTCATCCTCCTCCTCCGGTCCCAAACGGTACACATACCAGGATACAGAGAAGCGGGAATCTTTTGAGGACTGAGACAGAATGCTGCAGCCCAGCCGGATTGATCCATCTTCAGGTACTGTGATATTAGATTCTGCCTCCTCCACCTGCAACTTCACCACTGCAATAAAACCGATAATAAAAATCATTAAGTGCATGACAACATTTCTAATCTTCTTCAGAGATTGGGGTAGCATCTGTCGAAAACTCATTGTTACATTTATATAGAGCCAAATATTCTGGTTTAATTAAAGGAATTATTCACACAAAAAATAAAAATTCTGTCACTCTGAAAACAGTATGAGTATCTTTCGTTGAACACACAAGGTGACATTTGCAATACAATCAACAGTCATTTATAATGCAACAAATGATTTCTATTTCAAATAAATGTTTTTTTTTTTTGAATATTCTAAGAATCCTGAAAAAATGTATCATGGTTTATACAAAAATATTAAGCAGCACAACTGTTTTCAACATTTATAAATAAGAAAAGTTTTCATCAGATAAAAGAAAGTCATAGTTTCATAACAACATGAGGGTCAGCAAATAATGACAGAACTACATCTAATAATGTTTATACTAGTACAAAAAGGATTTAAATATTCCATCACGCCGTAAAATGAACTCTATCAAAATTCTGCAGGGCATCAAGCATCCAGGGATGTGGAACTAGCAGTTCAATATGTCACTCTCAAATGAAGGTGAGGATCATCACATTTTGTGTGAGAAGTCACAAGCTCATTCAGCAGAGTCTTGAGCTGAGATCAGCTAAAAATAAGACTGGCACACTTTAAGGGGCTCCTCTTATCATCTGCTCATGTAAAAGCAGTGCAATTTAACTTTGAAGATGGCAGATTACGAGGTGCTAAACCTTTCATCAACTATCTATTTGTAAATACATTTAAATGGATGCTATTTCAGGCACTCGTGCAGCGAGGAGGTGAACTGACACTCACACTTGCGTCCCCAGGGAAATAAGACTGGAATTTAAGTGCATACTTAGATATATTATAGAGATATGCACTGTGTATATATATGAGAGGCAAAAATAGAAAGAGTTATACAATACAGAATTCATGAAAGACAGCTTGACTAAAGCAGTGCTGAGAAGAAGATTAGATACTGTAGAGGGAAATGCATTCATGCTAAAGAATAGAAACTGCACGATGCATAAACAACTACACAAAATAAGGGCTTCCATAATGATCAGCATGTCCATGTGAATGTTAGATTTGCATTATTCATTTATAATAATAATTTATCACTTTTTGAAGTTGTCTGACCAGCAAAAACCAAAAAAAAAGTGCCCAAACTCACTTTTCTTGACCTTGATCTGTTTCAGAGGAGTAGATGTCTTGGCCACCTGTGCTCCTAAAGCTACTTGCTCAATGGACCCGAGGACAAACTACACAACAAAATGTGTCTATGTAACAGCGGTAAGTCGATGACCCATGTGCAGTGCAGTAATATTGAAGAGTGTGTTGTGTCAGGTTGGGATGTGGGGGTGGGATCTGTCCTTCCAGCTCCTCGAAGCTTTGATTCAATGCTGTCAAAGAGTCCAGATGGCATCAGACTAATGCAAACCTTTTCTACATAGTCACCTGGGGGCGTATTACAGAAAGTTTCTTATCTTAGGTCTTAACTTTTTTTGTGCAAATTTGTATTACAGAAGCAAATCTTAACTTGATTTGGGATTCTTATCTTATCTTACAAAATCGTATCTTATCTCTAGTTAGGAAATCTTAAATTGCATTATCAAGTTCGACAATCCACTCTCAGGTCTGTTACCAAGCAACCAACATTGCGCGAGCTGCTGTTGAGGTAAACAAAATAATAGAAGCTACTTCACTTTGAAAATCGCCTTTTGCAAAAAAAAAAAAAACATAAGGCATTAGTCACTTGCACTTGCACTACAACCGATAATGCTCCGTGACGCTTTTGTTGGTCTCTGCATGTAATGCTGGTTGCAGTTCCTGTGCTAACTGTAATATCATGTTGCATGGAGTGTTTTGTCATCAAAATGTAACACATCTTCAGGGTCCTCCAAGAGTCTTTCTACCATTAAACATCCCCGTTCTTCATTTTCAATTATTAGTAAATGTAATACCATTGTTGGACAGCGCAATTGTGAGCGTTTTTTCCGTTAGCTTTCAAATAATTTTGAAGTTAGGACAGCTGTGGGGTTGTCCTAAAGTTAAGACAGTTTTTAGGATTTTTTTGTCAAGTTAAGAGGTTTCTGTAAACACACTTAGGAAATACTGTTCTGTAAAAGCTTTTGTCCTAAATGTGGTCCTAACTGAAATTACCATGGTTACCAAACAGATAAAACATTTTTTTAAAGTTAGGATCTTTCTGTAATACGCCCCCTGAACCACACTAGACCTGCCTACAAAAGCTAGGTCATGATGTTACAGGAAAAAGTGGACATTATCTGCAAAAGGGGGTCAGACAGATGAATAGCTAAGGCGGTTTGCAGCAGGGGTCTAGCGGAGTGAAGAGAGGAGCAGCAGATGTGTGGCACTCAGATGGGCGTCATGAGTAAAGCCTCTGGGCTCCAGCAGTCGTGATTGTGTCCGTTATGAGGTTCTGACTCTCCCTTGCCACCTGCACTGTTAGTGCTAAGGTCTGTGGCCCATGTGGGGCGGCTCCCTGAAGGGCTGCGCTTGCGTTTGAGGAGTCACGCGTACAAAGCCCCTATCTCTCTTTATGTCTTCCTCTCATAAATACACACATGCTGATGAATGATTCAGTTTGGGCAGACATGAGCTCAGGATGGCTGCGCTCCATGGTGGTCTCAGGGGGAGAATGTTTTCATGCTGCTCTTTCTAATCCTCTCATGCCAGATGGCATGGTAAGCCCATGGGACTGCTACACACACCTACAACTGAATCTCAAAGGCTTCGGAGTCTGCTATAGGAATAAAGGCCAACTCGGCTAGTTGGGTGCCATTGTAAATACTGTCCAGCACTTTCCATTAGCAAGATACAAAAAAGGACCAGAGAATTTTTCCAAAAAACCTTTAGAAAATGTTGATCGTTAATCTCAGGAGGGCCTGAGATGTTTTCTTTTGTTCATTTTATTTGAGAAATTTCTGCAACCCTGTTACCAAAATAAATATACAGCTCTGCGAAATTTTTTTTAAAGAGACCACTGAAAAATTATTAATTTCTCTGGTTTTACTATTTATTGGTATGCGTTTGAGTACAATTAACATTTTTGTTTAATTCTATAAACTACTGACAATATTTCTCCCAAATTCCAAATAAACATCCTGTCATTTAGAGCATTTATTTGCAGAAAATGACAACTGGTCAAAATAATAAAAAAGATGCAGTGTTTTTTGCAGTGTTTTTTTTCTCATTTTCTAGCAAAAAACATTCATCTAAAAACTAAATGGAAAAAAAATTATAACATTTAAAAAAAAACAAAAAACAATTAAAAAACACCAAATGTGTAACATACATGTTGTTCAAAAGTTTAGAAGATTTTTTAATGTTATTGAAAAAAGTATTTTATGCTCACCAAAGCTGCATTTATTTGTAAGAGGAACAGAAGGCTAATAATGTGAAATGTCTTATATATATATATATATATATATATATATATATATATAGCTGAATTTTCAGTCATTACAGTCTTCAGTGTCACATGATCATTCAGAAGAAATCATTCTAATATTTCTTATAGCAATGTTTCTTCTTATTATTATAAATGTTGAAAACAGTTGTACTTCTTAATATTTTTTTGTGGAAACCATGATATACATTTTTTCAGGATTCTTTGATAACTACAACGTTTAAAAAATGCATTTATTTGAAATAGATTCTTTTTGTAACATTATAAATGTCTTTACGTCACATTTGATCAATTTAATACTGTATATCCTTGCTTACTAAAAGTATTAATTTCTTTAAAAAAATGCCGTCAAAGTTTGAAAACTAAATGTGAGACAAAGATAAATATACATTTAAATACAAGTACATATACATCCATTTGATAAGCAAATATTCTTACCTGGCTGTCTCACCACCACATGTGTGAAGCCGGAGGAGTCTTGTGCCAGGCGATACCAGAGTCCATCAGGGTCCATGAGCCACTCCTCCACAAGGCAGTAGTATGTTCCAGAGTCGCTGGTCTCGGCACGGTGCAAAGTAAGCCCGTAGAGGCGAGGAGAGAGCCTCTCTGACTGCACACGGCTGCGGAGACGTTCCTCCTCTGCGTACGCTCCATACTCGAACGCTCCAGTGTGTTCGATCTTCAACAGCAGCTCATCCGGCTCTCCTGCCTCAGCCTTCCGGGCGTACCACAGCACAGCATGCTGAGAGTCCGGGCTGGTTTGAGAGGTGATGGAGCAGTTGACACGCACCCGACTGTCCTCCAGAAACTGCAGACTCCGGTTGGACTTGTGCACCTTCAGTTTACTTACTAAAGGAGGAGAAAGCAAAAAGGGGAAACGTTAGAACAATGAATACCAAGATTTACAGACTATTTAGACCAAATAGCCTACATTAAAAAAGCCAGATATTCTTGTCTGTAAGTACCCTTGTGACTAAATGTGCACTTGTAATGTACTTCAAATCTTAAAGGTATATTTGAAAAAAACTGTCCTTGAAGATAATATATGAATGAATTAAAAGGCCATTTAAACGTACACTTTCATGTTTCTTAACGCACTTATAAAAAGTGTACTTTGAAATAATATCCATAGGAATCCATTGTTTCTTTTAAATGTGAATAGGCCTTTAACCAGAATGGATATTTACTGTTGCTGAGGGAGTCGCTTGTTTTAGATCTGGAAGAAATAAGACGTCAGAAACATTCTTGAGGGAGCAGGGCTGCGGGATCCTGGGCATACATATTGGATTACTACAGGTGCATCAGGTGTGACCGCCATCGGCAATGGCTGTTACTTATTTCACACCATGAGTGGATTTATGAGTACCCGAAGAGCTTAGGAAGACAATGGGAGACACACTTTCACACCTGCAAATAAAAGGTCTCACATACTTACAAATGTAGATCATTAGATATGTGCAACTGAGAAGCGTTCAAAAGTAAAGAGAGCAGATGTCCTACATGTGCGGCCCTGTTATTTGGCACGAGAATGTGCAAACAGTTCAGGCACACTTTCAAACGCATTAACCATATGCCACTGCATTACTCCTCCCATTCTCCCATTTTCTCAACACACACATGCAGTGCCTTTTACCAAGAAAATACAAAATTGCTGGGACTTCATATGATTGTTTCTTTTACATCTTTTATTACCTCAAATTAATGTGCATCTGTGAAACTTCACATTCTGTTTTTCCTGCTTTAATGGCTCTTTGCTAAAAATCCAATTTTCCACTGACACTTTGGCTCCAGTAATCCCCATCACGCATTTCTGCACTTCTAGCAAAGTCCCCTGATTCATCCCTAAGCCTGGACCTTCTCCGTGAATAACAGTGGCATGAACACTCTTACGCTTCTAACCAGCAGGCCAGAAACCCAATCCCTGCAGCAAAGCTCCTCAACTCAATTGTATAATGTCAAATCTCACCGATTTAACACTGTTTCTCCAAGTTTTTTTTTTAAAGATTTATAAAAATAAAACCGCAAAGGAATTGTTCCTCAATTTAGGCTTTTGATTTACCATATTCCATATTCTTAAAATCCACACACAAACCACTCAAAAAAAAAAAAAATAAATAAAAATGCAGAGAAAACTATGACAAATAATTAATGATCACAATTGTATTTGATGTGACAGCTGTGTGTTTGCAGTAATACCGGCGTCTGCTGACATACTGTTGCCATTGTACATGCTATCAGGCCAAGAGCTTCTAAAATTAAAATGTCACACTGCAAAATGCGCTTTGTTCACTCCTGCAGGGCTGCCAGAGTTAATATCTCCCCACAGTTCAGCTTTAAAACAGAAGACTCCAACAAAACTGACAAGAATGAGTGTCTGCGTCCCTTCAGTTGTTGATGGTAGTTGCACTAGATCAGTTGCTTGTTGGCATAAAGCCAGCTAACTAACTGCTAATTTAGCTCTTTAAAAAACAGTTACTTAACAAAAGAAAGATCACTATGAGAATTAAAGTCACTTTTTAATAAAATGTTAAAAATGTTAGAAAGCTCTTGAAAGCAAGGCGGCTCCTCACTAATCTGGAGTAATGGCTGTTGATAATGTAGCTTCGCCATCACAGGAAAAAATTACATTTTAAGATATATTAAAATAGAAAACAGTTCTTTTAAATTATAATAACATTTCAGTGCATTCGTTATGACTTATAGGAGACTTCAAAAACAGTTGTGTATTTTCACTGAACTGCAGTTTTCAGGATACACATAAAGAGCACATTCAGAATCTGCAGTGGGCCCGAATTTAATTTGAATTGACAAAAATGTACATAAACTTTAGCAGTTTTTGACACTGCTAACAGGCATTTATCCTGTAAATGCAAAATGGCATCTTGTGTGCCCTCATAAAACATTACTGGTTGGGTGCACACTAAAGATGCTCTCAAAGCGCTGGCAGTCATTCCATAGGGAATCTCTACAGAACCCTTCAGAGCTAGCAGCTAATCGCAGGAGAATGACTCTTCAATCCTCTAAGGCAGAACCACCAATGGATGGGATTTCCACACAAGAGATTTCTTAGTTTTCTTTCTAATTTCTCCAGTTTTGACAGAAAACAAAGGCTGAAAAAGAGATGTCAGGGATTAAAGGGATTCCCCATGAAATCAAAATTAGAGTTATGTGGCTTTTAGTTCATGTAGTTTAGCTTTGAAGCCATTTATGTACTACTAGTGTACTCATCAATGTTGAAAATTCACTTTTAGCAGATATATGCGGTTAACATTTACAATACCACTCATCTGTAAATTTTTTCATGATCTCGATATGTCTTTTTTAACCTTAAAACTGTGTCTGCGAGTTGAATCTTTTACAAGTTTTCTTTACTGAATTTGATTGTGGCTGATCACATCACCGATCACAGGTGCATTCAGCGTTACATGATATTCAGAAAATCATGTTTACAAATACGGTGCCATTTTTAAAGCACCTAATATTGTTGTTTGACTCTAGCACTGCTGCACAATTAAATACAATCATACAATATTGCTCAGATTTACATAAGGTTATTCACAGAGGCTTTGAAATCAGAGAAAAGTTATGCATGGCAGCTCACAGTTGAGACACAGTTTAGTCTCCTGGGCAACAGAAAAGCAATACAGCGAATATGATTGGAAACATTTGCCTTCTCTGTTTCAAGCTCACTCCTGATCAATGTTTTTCTTTCAGCATGATGCATAAGTGGACTTGGAGCGGAGGACTGATGCTCCACTCTCTCTCTTCCCCCATTCAATTTTCTAATAAAGAAAGTGAGCAGAGCAGGGCGCCTCTGACAAGACGGAAATGAGGTCCATTGGTCTTTGTACTTTCTGTCCTACAGGAGCAGCTATCCTTTCATTAGCTCCCGAGAGTTGCAGCAGATAAGATTATCTCCCCACTCATATTAGCCATAGATATGAATACTCTTGCATGGGTTTTCCATCATTCACTTGCATTTAGGGTTACCCTTACTAGGTCTGAATCCTTCGGAGGGTCTCCTCCATGTGTCCTAATGAAGGAAGGCGGCCAATTAAATTCTGACAGAATCATCTTTGACTCTACCAGGCACGATTAAACAATTTAATTAAACAAGATATTTGTTCTTGACAAAACTGCAAGCCATTACATTTTTGTTGTATAATCGAATTAGGAAAATCAATAAATGTATGAAAAGCGAGAGAGGAAAAAGAAAGATGGGAGAGTAAGAGAGACTGCAAAAATGAAGCAAATCAAGCAGCACACTTTAAACAGCTCAGAGCTTGATTAGAGGCAGTTTGTGACGGCTCTCAGACGGAGGGCGAGGAGGTGTGGAGGGGGAGGTTGGCAGCGGAAAAAAGCAAACAGAGAAAATGTTTAGAGTGCATTTGTGATTTTCTAAGAAGACAGCGAGCCGCGTTCCCTCCTCCTGCGTGTGTCCAATTTGTTAGCCCCAGTTAATTACCAACACGCTGCGCTGCCGAGATAAAGATGCTTTTATTTGGTTTATTTATTGATGACACAATCTCCAAAGATAATTCAGCCTTCCCATCAAGAAACACAAACCATTTATTTATTACATTAAGAAAACATTTATTCCAGTGACATCCACATGCACTGGAGATTTTAAAGTGGCCATATCATGAAGAATAAAAAAAAGTTTGTGCTATCAAAACATACTTTAACAAGCAAACAAAATGTCCTTGCCAGTCTAAAAAGAGCATTTACTGAAACTAAAGCCTGAACAATATGTTCCCAGTGAGATCTTGGGTAAAAGTCAGAATGTACAGCTTGTAGGAGCAGTCACGCAGCACGAATGCCACACTAAATATCTGACACTGCCAGAACTTTGTCAGAGGCTCGGATTTATTGCAAAGGCAATAAATGTGGCCCACTTAGTCACAGTGAGGTAGAAAAGAAAGAGGAGAAATTAATGAGAAAAAAAAAAATGTGACTCCGGACCACAAAACCAGTCATAAGGGTCAATTTAGTGAAATTGAGATGTATACATCACCTGAAAGCTGAATAAATAAGCTTTACATTGATGTATGGTATGTTAGGACAATAGGACAATATTTGGCTGAGATACAACTATTTGAAAATCTGGAATCTGAGGGTGTAAAAAAATCTAAATATTGAGAAAATCGCCTTTAAAGTTGTCTAAATGAAGTTCTTAGCAATGCATATTATTAAGAAAAAATTAAGTTTTGATATACTTACGATAGGAAATGTACAAAATATCTTCATGGAACATGATCCTTTCTTAATATACTAAAGATTTTTGGCATAAAAGAAAAATCGATAATTTTGACCCATACAATGTATTGTTGGCTATTGTTACAAATATACCCGTGCTACTTATGACTGGTTTTGTGGTCCAGGGTCACATATGTAATTTTAAGAAATCTTATGCTGTTCCTGACTGGGTGTAGCACCTTCCACTCTGCACATCAGTCTTAAATGTATTTTTAACAACGTCCTGATCATTTTAGTCTGATCTCAACAGTATAGATTGTTCTCTGAATGTCAAACATAATGGAGGATTTGCAAAAAGGCTATTATTGAACGATAGAGCAGGTAAAAAATGTATCAGACTCAAAAGCAAACAGCAGCTGTTGAGTAAGGTCAGTAACGGCATTCAAAATGTATTTACACTAGAATCACAATCATAGGAAATAACACAGCACATGCTCGAATGTTGATTACTGATTCACAGTGGACAAAAAAGACATGATGCACATCTAATGGAGAAAGTGGCTTGGCTCTAGTAAAATACAGTAAAGGGTGATTCACACCACACACCACACGGAAGTCGTGGCCTAATGGTTAGAGTGTTGGAGTAGTAACCC